CAGATTTTATTTGGATCACCTTTCAAATTAAGAAAACGAAAGATATGAACACAAACTGCAAACGCTGGGCATATCCGATCCATATGACGCCGCAGCGTCCGTTGACGCATTTCTACCACTTAAAAACCTCCAGGTCCCTGCCGCCGCTCGACTGCAGGAATATTTACTTTTACCTTCTGCGGAATCCCTCCCCTCACACAGCTCAGTCTTGTCTCCACCTCAATAAGTAAATCCTGAAAACTATGAATGAGAACACTGTTTCACATCCTCGCAATAAAGCGTGTGCATCCCGGCATTTGATCCGCATTCATAAATCTGTGGACACTTATTTTTATTTCCTTGAGGAAATTCAGGGGAATCTGATCACACGTTTACTGACGGTGTCAAGTAAGCCAGAGTCTCTTTCGAATGTCTTTCAGAACTTTTCAAAGTAAAAGCTCTCAATAAACTCAACATGAAGCATTGCTGCAAAAAACATTCACCTGCTTTTATGACTTAGATCTATTTAACATCAATTCATTGATTATGTAAAGTGTATATTGTCAGGCTTTCTAAATTTTAAACATGTTTACATGAAAATAATTCTTTCCTAAATGTATTTTGCTGTGTCTGTATCCCATCCTGCAGCAGTGGACTAGACTTCAGAGAAAATACATTTATATCAGAGTTGTGTCAGCCATCTGTGGTCTTAGAGTGCGCTCTGCTGGTGCATTGGTGACATTTCATGTCAATTCAACACATCTGATCTGAAGAAAGTTAAAAACATCTTTCAGACACAGGCGCTACAGGATACTTAAGTACATGTCTCCGGTGACGCTTTGAGAGTTTGTTTCTTCATTTTATAATAAAACAAAAAACAAAAACAGAATCTCAGATCCATGTTTCTGTTTGTGTCGAATCAACAACCAGAAAACCAAACTCAAATGACCAGTTTACTGTTTTTGCAAATTCCTCTTTTTCACCGCTTGAAGAAAGACATTAAGAAAACTGAGACAGGTGTGTCAGGTGACCTGGAAGTAAAGATAAATATATCAAAACACCTCAAGGGAGCTGGGAATCAAACCACCAACCTTCTGATAAACATAGTTCTGCTTTTCAGCTGGACCACTGGACCACTGGTGACCTCGGATCAAAGTAGCGTCCCTGGAGCTTCCTGCTTCACCTGCTGGGCTGGAAGTTGAAATCAGGTTCAGGTGTCTTCATCCTGCTTCTGGTGAAGAAGCAGCCGTGACCTCTGACCTACAGAGCAGCTTGTAAACCAGCCGATGGCTGATGTCACGGCGGCGAGGAGAATCCGCTACGTCACCCCGTAGTGTTTCAGGTTCATGTTGGTGACGTCAGCTCCTCTGCAGGTCGATGGAGGTGACGTTTCAGCAGCCTCCTCCTTCACCCTGAACTTCTGACGACTTCTGACGTCACCGCGAGGATGGTCCAGTGGGGACGACGTCGCCTTGAAGCGCCGGCAGCGTGGGTTCAAATCCCACTCAAGGTGCGTAACAAATAACTCTGTGTGTGTGTCTGTGTGGTCAAAAACAAACTAAACTCAAAAACCTCAAACAAAAACTCTAAAATCAAACTAAAACCCGCCGCTCGCTCGCTTGCGTTCGCTTCGCTTCAACGTGGATTCGCGCCTTCAACCAAGTGAACACCATCTACAAACAGGTAAGTCCAGGTGGGTCCAGCTAGCTAGCTTGAAGAAAGCTAGCTAGCGAGACTGGTTTTCTGTTGTCTTCGCTCTTTATTCTTTAGTTATTCCGCCTTTTTTCTGGCGTCTATCTCCTCCTGTACCTTCAAAATGTACATCTTTCCTAATGAGATGTGTTCTTTTGTTTTTATTGCTGATGTCTGTAATGGTTGATTTTAGATTAATATTTTTAAGCATTTTAAAATGAATGTGTTCCTCTGAGAGCAGAGACTCAACTCTCTTCTAACCTACTCAACTTTAAAAGATTTCTGCTACGGCAGATGTGCATTTTGATTTGACTTCCAAAGTGAAGCTTTTACAGCTTTTTGCAGATTTCATCAGCGTGTCACATGACCAGCTAGAGTGCGTCACCAGCAGTGAGCTTCTATAGCTCAGTTGATAGAGGGTCAGTCTTAAATGCATGACTTTATGGTGCCAGACGGGAGTTCGATCCCCACCTCAGGCAAGTTGTAATTGGTCACAGCTTGAGAGTTTTGCGCAGCTGTTTGGTGTTTGAACTTGATGCTATCTGAACACGATGTTCAGTTCCTGCTGACTGCTGGAGTTAAATTGTATATTGTCTGTCTGGAAATGTTTACATGGACATCAGTGTTTCTTCACACTTCTGGTTTGCTGTCTTTATTTCGTTCTCCAACTCTGAACTAGACTTCACAGAAATCACTTTTATAAGCATCAAAGTGGTGTGTCAGCCGTTTGTGGTCCTCGACTGCCCCCTACTGGAGCATTAGTGTCATTTTATGTCCTCCACACAGATCAGTTAAGGACGAAACATTGAAGTATTGTTCTCACAGTGCCTCAATAGTCCTGTGGTTAAGGTCTTGCCCTTGAAACTCAGAGGTTGAGGGTTCAAGTTCTACGTGAGGCATGTGAGGAAAATGCTGTGAATAAAAATTGCTGCTGACATATTTTCTTCCAAAGTGAAGGGTTTTACAGCTGATGGAGATTTCATCAGTTTGTCACATGACCAGCTGAGTGCAGAGGGCAGATTTTGGCAAATAATCTAACCTGCTCCTAGTCGTGCATATTCATCTCCATAAGCACAGAATAGGCATCAAAAAGTATCCACAAGCCTTTTCTCTCTCAAGAAGGCAACATCTTCCTCAGTGGAGGGTTAGTGTGTTAGATTTAAAGCTGATATGATGGTAACCTACAGCAAACCAAACTCAAATGACCAGTTTTCTTTTTCTGCAAATTCCTCTTTTTCACCGCTTGAAGAAAGACATTAAGGAAACTGAGACAGGTGGGTCAGGTGACCTGGAAGTAAAGATAAATATATCAAAACGGATTTGAAAAATTGCTTATAGAGCAGCAGTTTGCAGCAGTAGCTACAGCTAATAGGTTTCACACACGTTCTAGTTTTGTTTGATAAATGATAATCAACTTTATTGACAACATCCAGTTTCTGCACAAAACAACATGTGGAATCTATTGTCATCACCATCGGCAGGTAGGTAGATCTTAACTCTTAGCTCACTAGCCTTCTTTAAACAAATACCATTACATCAGAATCAGATTGAGCTTTATTGCCAAGTACTGTTTTACCCATACAAGGAATTTGCTTAGCCGATAAGGTGCTACACGCAGACAAACATACAGTTGACATAAATATTTGTAGAAATATATAAATATGGAATAAACAAATGCAAGTTATATAAGAATAATAGAAGAATTGAGAAAAATAATTTGCAGAGAAAGAACAGCATGGCAAATATTTACATGTGCATTATTCTGGTGTGTTTTGTGCAGACGTGTTGCAGCGGAAGAGAGTGTTGTGTACATAAATATATAAATTGACGATATAAAAAAAATATATATATAATAAAAAACAAAACAACAACAATTAACAATTAACAACAAATATGTGCAATGTTCCAGGTTCGTGCATGATAATGAAATAATATTAACATGTGCAGAGACATTTGTATAATTTGAAAGGGGGGAGAGTCAGTAGGAGACCCGGGTCTTGCTGATGAGGCTGCAGACGGGAAGAAACTGTTTTTGTGGCGAGAGGTTTTGGTCCTGATGGACCGCAGCCTCCTGCCAGAGGGGAGAGTCTGAAACAGTTTGTGTCCGGGGTGGGAGGAGTCAGCTGCAATCTTTCCTGCTCGCCTCAGAGTCCTGGAGGCGTACAGGTCCTGGAGGGGTTCAGGTCCTGGAGGGGTTCAGGTCCTGGAGGCGTACAGGTCCTGGAGGGGTTCAGGTCCTGGAGGCGTACAGGTCCTGTAGGGGTTCAGGTCCTGGAGGGGTTCAGGTCCTGGAGGGGTTCAGGTCCTGGAGGGGTTCAGGTCCTGGAGGCGTACAGGTCCTGTAGGGGTTCAGGTCCTGGAGGGGTTCAGGTCCTGGAGGCGTACAGGTCCTGGAGGGGTTCAGGTCCTGGAGGGGTTCAGGTCCTGGAGGCGTACAGGTCCAGAAGAGAAGGAAGATTGCTGCCAATCACCTTCTCTGCAGAGCGAATGATGCGCTGCAGCCTGCCCTTGTCCCTGGCAGTGGCAGCAGCGTACCAGATGGTGATGGAGGAGGTGAGGATGGACTCAATGATGGCGGTGTAGAAGTGCACCATCGTTGTCTTTGGCAGGCTGAACGTCTTCAGCTGCTGCAGGAAGTTCATCCTCTGCTGGGCCTTCTTGGTGAGGGAGGTGATGTTCAGCTCCCACTTGAGGTCCTGGGAGATGATGGTGCCCAGGAAGCAGAAGGAGTCCACAGTGGCGACGGGGGAGTCACACGGGATGATGGGGGAGGGTGGGGCTGGGCTCTTCCTGAAGTCCATGACCATCTCCACGGTCTTCAGAGCGTTGAGCTCCAGACTGTTCTGGCTGCACCAGGTCATCAGATGGTCGATCTCCCACCTGTAGGCGGACTCATCCCCACCTGAGACGAGCCCAATGAGGGTGGTGTCATCTGCAAACTAAACATGAAACATGAAGCTAAAGCTAATTTCAGAAACAGTGAGTTGATGATTCTGTGAAGGTTCTCTTCTTCTGACTGAAGAACTGAAGACGTCTCTCAGATGAGAGACAAAAGGTCTGTGAGTATCTTTAGTCCAGTTGATTTTAGCCTTCCTTGGAAGAGTTAACGAGGTGAAACCCGGCAGCAACGTGTCCTGATCCGTCACTCAAACATTATACTAACAACTTCCTGCCAGAACACGCCAACAAAACACCAGCCAATCAGAACCGTTGGAGCAACAGCATGTTTCTGTGTTTCTCAGCGCTGGAAAGTAACCAAGTACATTTACTCAAGTACTATTGAAGTGGTAACAGAGTATTTGTACACAGTGATAGTACTTCTCCCTCCGCTGCTGTTCCTTGTGTTTCAGCCTGTTTGGAAACTTCAGTCTATAAATATCAGGATGAGTGGAAAAGAGAAGTAGCAGCAGTGAGTCGTCTGTCTGACTCGTCCTGCGTCCGTCCGTCTGGTTCGTCCCCCACCGTCTGATTCATCCTCCCTCCGTACGTCTGATTCGTCCATCCGTCTGGTACGTCCTCCCTGCGTCCGTCCGTCTGGTTTGTCCTCTGTCCATCTGTCTGACTCGTCTTCTCTCTGCAGGAAACAACATGCTGTCGCTGCTTCTTCACACCTTCACCTCCGTCTGCGTCGTCACAGGTGAGTCTGAACCTGAAGCTTTCCCCCCTGCCAGGTGTTCAGAGTTTAACCGGTGAGACACAAGAGACAGGCTGGACTAAAGACCGAGGGCACTACTGTTCATATGAAGGGTTGGACAAAATAATAGAAACACAGTATAGGTCAGCACAACTGGCGTCCTCCACAGGTGACGTGAACATGATAACCTTCACGGAGGACCGATCGGTCTAGGCTCGGTGTTTCTGATCAACTGTTCTTTGTTGGCATCAATGTGAGGCCGAAGAAATAAACTAAAAGCCATCTCTTGGATACGTGAACATAAAGTTTACGACAGCACCATATGACAGAACTCGTCCAGCTGTCTTTGTCTCTCAGAAACATGTGAAAGGCTGAACAGGTGTTTTGGTTTCTGTGGTTAAATCTGCCTCTTTTTCCTTTAAATAAGTGTAAGAAACGGGTGAGGAAGGTGATGTTTCTGATGAACATGAGCCTTAAAACTCCAGTAACAGAAACCCTGAGACTGATACTAGCAGAGTACTTCATTCAGCACCTTGTGTAAAATGCCACCTTTTGAAGCCAAAGTAGTTGATTGTTATTTTTATTGTTCTTATTTAGTCCAGGGGCGACAGCTTGAGAGGTGTTTTTGTATTTGAATGAGAGAGGAGGAGTGAAATAGTTTAGTGACCACCGTGAGCTGTGGAAAAGGAATTTAAATTAAGTTTTTGATCTGTTTGTTGAGTAAATCACGGAGAATACTTTTGTTAACTTTGAATTAATCAAGAAGAGCTGCTTTTTCCTTTAGTGGTGAATCCACCAAAAACATGTGTTGCTTGCATGTTTGGCTGCAAGCAACACTATACAAATATACTGATTACAAAAAGAATGCAGCACTCGTGCGACTGGACAGGTTTTGATACTCGAAGTCGATATCTTAAAGGTATCGAGTAGCGATACCCAGCCAGTGTGACAGAGTATTTGTACATCATTTCTGTTCCCTTAAAGTATATTTGTCCAAAAAAGTACCCTGTAAGGTACGGAAATGGTCCTTATGGTGTTAACCATGGACGTTTGTTTAAGGTACAGAATCACTGCTGACAGCAAAGGCTACATTACTGTACTTTCAACAAGCTTCAGGTAGAGGCAAGATCCGCCGCCACCACGATGGCAACGGGTGGTGATGGTCCAGTGGATAAGACACGTGCCTTTGGTTTGAGAGATCCGGCTTCAGCTCTCCACGGTGACACGTCCACCATCTGAGGATGTGACATCAGTCAGTCAGATGTTATCCGGCGGTTATCCCGCCCCTCTCGCTAGAAAGCCAATCGTCTGCTTTTAACAGCCAAAGCGGGAAACATATTTCAGCCAATCGTGTGGCTCCACTGACGTACGGGTCTGTTATTCTTCTACTGTGCATACGAGGTAGACGTGACGCACGCGCAGTAGAAGTATAACCGGTCGTGAAAAACGCTTTTTAAACCTTATTTTGGGGCAAAGTCGTCTCTTCCAGAGATTTCCATCAGATTTTGCTGCTGATTCTGTCCATGTAGTTTTTATGTCCCGTGACCAGTGAGAGTGAAGCTCTCTGGTCTTGTTAGTCCGAAGTCGCTGCCAGGGAGCGTTGCCAAGATGGCGGCCGAGTGGCGGGACCCGCCTATAAGGACTTTGACACTGGGGTGCACAGATGTTCTTTTAGAGGTACAGCTGGAGCGACAAAGTATTTGTACCCATTTAGGTCCATTCCTGCACCTCGTTCTCTCTCTGGGTACACGGGGGAATTCTGCTTTTACTCGTGACAGAGTATTTTTATAAAGGGTGGCAGAACCGCTTGATTTCGGCACCTGAAACCTTTGGGATTTGTGTGTTTGTGTCAGTGGTCACCGCGGAGACAGTGGTGGGCGTGGCCGGGAGGACGGTGACGCTGCCGTGTCTCTCGGAGGCGGCGAGTCAGGGAGGCGTGGAGGTGTGCTGGGGGAGGGGAAAGCCGTCACTGTTCACCTGCCACAACGCCGTGATCAACGCCGCCGGGGAGCAGGTCACCTACAGGAGGTCATACAGGTAAGGGGCCGGACTCAGGCCGCTGAGGCTCATGGGTACTGTAGTTCTACATGACACACTGAGCGTTTGGTGAATTGAGGACTGTGATGTCTCGGCTCTGCAGGTACTCCATGTCCTCGTCCTCCTCTCTGGACATCTTTAACTCTCGAACGTCAGACTCTGGTTTCTATCACTGCAGAGTCCAGCTGCCCGGCCTGTTCAACGACCAGACGTCCACCGTTCACCTCATCATCATCACCCGTACGTCCAGAACCTCTTCAGTCCAGACCAGACCAGAGCCGGGCCTTCAGGGTCTCTGGTTGTGTGTTTGAGACCGGCGATGTGGATCAGCTGGTGTTCTAATGTTTCTTTGTCTGTCCTCCTGCAGCTCGCTCTGTGGTCTCTGAAACCTCCGGGAGCCCGAACGCACCACGCACTACAGCAGGTAACCAGCACCTTCCAGACCCAGAGTCGGATCCTCAGGCTCGGTTCTGTACTAACTGAGACTCTGTCACCTGTCTGCAGGTTACACCAGAGGGCGTCTGACAGAGACAGGAAATGATGTCACAGGGGAGAGCGCCACAGGGCCAATGGTGGCGCAGGTTCAGGTACCACAGACGGTTTCCGGCTCCACACAGTTATTAAAGATGGATATAGTTTGTTTACCTGCAAACTACTGATATTCAGGGAACTTTGACCACAAATGTTTAATAAGGATCCTGCTCGGACCCTGGTCAGGTCAGAAGCCACGCCCACATTTACACACCTGCAGACGAGGACAGGTGCGGTTAACCGCCTGAGGAGGTAAACATCAACAACAGCAACAACATTAAACGACGGCGCTCCCCAAACACGTGCTTTTATTGGTTGTTTCTAACGGTGCTTTCAGACCAAACGCGAGGCGAGCGTTGGGCGCAGTTACACACATACAAAGTCACCACTGTGTGTTTCCGACTTCCACTGTTGTTGTTAGCGTCAGTGAAAACCCAGTGTGAAACTACTACTTCATGTTCGTATAAAAACAGAACTGGACATCAGAGAAAAGAAAGCGAGGAGGTTGAACAACCTGCTGAGTTCTGAAAACATGTGTCTGTAACTTTATTCCAGCTGTCGTCGTACTTTACTGTGAGCACGTTAGCATAGCATAGCCCCGATCGAGCCGAAACACTAACATTTTAACAGTTGTCGTCCTGCTGACACACCTGACAAAGAATGAAATTATATGTTTAACAAATCTGCATCATGTTGTCGTTGTTTCGGCATCAGTTTGATCCGTTTATTGCAACAAGTCCAGCGATAAAACTCGTAAAAGCGACACGAATATTGAATACGTGTCGGTCTGAATGCACAGGAACACGATCGTATGAAACAGACGTTCAGAATATAAATGTTGTGACGTAAGCAATAAAAGATAAAGCAGGACTTTAAGAAACTCATTTTATAAAACCATCGGCGTTATTATCAGATGGCTGATCACAGTTTGTTTGTTGACAGGCGTCCGTCCAGCAGCAGCAGCAGCTAAACAGTCTGCAGAGCTTCGTTGGAAACACAGTGAGAGTCTCCTTCATCGTCTTCATACCTGCACTGCTGCTGACCACCTGTTATAGTCAGTACACACACACACACCTTCTGACCTGAACCCTACATCCAGGTCTTGACCCCTGAACAGCTTCTCTGGCCCTTCGTGGTGACCTCAGTTCCTCAGAGTCCCCATCAGGACATGATGCGTTCAGGTTTCAGTTCAGATTTCAGAATTTGACTTGTTGTGTCAGAACTCTGCACACAAACCAAACGAGACCAAACACCTGACACATCTCGCATCACTGAGGGTCTGTAGCTCGATGGTCGGTGGTTCAATCCCCGACTCCCCCAGTCTGTATGTCCTCGGGCAAGACACTGAACCCTAAAGTGCCTCCATTGGTGTGCGAGTGAAGGGGGGAATGTAAAGAGGAGACGTTCACCTGTAGAACACTTACTGGCTTCAGATGGAGGCTCTGCTCTTTATTTACCTGGTGAATCGTAGCATCAGAGCTCATGACCTTCCATCAGCATCAGCACACACTGACTCTGATCGGCTGCTCAGAGCTCAGAGTCCTGAACCAGTAACGGGTGTGTTTGTGTCTGCAGGAGTCTGGATCTACAGGCAGAGGTCAGAGACTGACGGGAGCCTGAACCAATCAGAGGGCGAGGAGGAGGAGCGCTCCGTGTAGAGACTGACAGCAGGCTGAACCAATCAGAGCGCGAGGAGGACTGCGGCTGACGACGTCATCGATCCACATCCTGAACATTACACAGTGGAGGTTCTCAGCAGGTCGTAGTTATCCAGAGAAGGTGCAGTGATCGAAAACAGAAACAGGATCCAACAACAACAAGCAAACATGAAACAAAGTCTGCTTATCTCAAACGTTGCCTCCACGTGCTCCTTGTTTTTATTATTGTTTATTTAAAACGGTACCCAGGTTGAAGGTTTCTCAAATACAGCTGAGTAAATGTACTCAGTTTCTGTCCAACAGCTTCCGTGTGGCCTTTTGAAAGCAGCAGAGTAAAGCCGAAGGAGAATTTATTCCCCTGGACGTGTTTATAAAATATATTTTCCTGTTTTCCTCTTCAGCTTGAACAGTTTCAAAGAAAATAACAATAAATGAGTTACAAATATGTTACTTGTTGTTGTACTCTGCAGTACTAGTGTTGTTGTACTCTGCAGTACTAGTGTTGTTGTACTCTGCAGTACTAATGTTGTTGTACTCTGCAGTACTAGTGTTGTTGTACTCTGCAGTACTAATGTTGTTGTACTCTGCAGTACTAATGTTGTTGTACTCTGCAGTACTAGTGTTGTTGTACTCTGCAGTACTAATGTTGTTGTACTCTGCAGTACTAGTGTTGTTGTACTCTGCAGTACTAGTGTTGTTGTACTCTGCAGTACTAATGTTGTTGTACTCTGCAGTACTAGTGTTGTTGTACTCTGCAGTACTAATGTTGTTGTACTCTGCAGTACTAGTGTTGTTGTACTCTGCAGTACTAATACATTGTGTTTAATGGCTGCTACTCTCATGTGAACGTTTAAAACATATTTTAGGAGGCTTTTTGTACTTTGGATTTCCACTGAAACATAATAAATATTTGATTTTTCAGGAAACTAAAGTGGATTCGATCACCTGAATATGATTCTAATCAGGAGCATTGATCGCCTTGTGGACCCGCTGCAGTTCTGCCCTGTGGCAGCAGAGGGCGCTGTGAGCTGCAGAATAACAAACCAACAGTCTCACATCCTGCAGAAATCATCCTTCTATTATTATTAACAAGTGTGACCAAAGTGTTAAATCATTAAAAACTTTTATAAATGATTAAAGTTACATTCATATATATATATATGGTTAGCACTGTCGCCTCACAGCAAGCAGATCGTGGGTTTGAACCCCGGTCGTCTCAGCCTTTCTTGTTCTCTGCGGCTGCTCCGGCTTCCTCCCACTGTCCAAAGACATGCCGACTAGATTAACTGGTGGCTCTAAATTGTCCTTAGGTGTGCGATGGACCGGCGACCAGGGTGTACCGGTACTGGCCCCCCACGATCCTGTACGCAGGATAAGCGGTTGACGATGGATAGACATATAAACTCAGCAAAAAAGAAAGGTCCTCTCACTTTCAACTGCTTTTATTTTCAGCAATCTCAGCATGTGTTGATAAAAAGACTCAACGACTAAACTGAATTAAGTTTCACAGACGTGTGACTAACGAAAATGTGTCCCTGAACAAAGAAAGGTCAAAATCTAAAGTACCATCAGGATCTGCTGCGGCCTGCAGCTGCATCTCCTCCTCATCAGCTGCACCAGATTGGCCAGTTCTTGCTGTGAGATGTTACCCCTCTCTTTCAGTCCGACCTACAAGAGCCCTTTTTTCTGGTCCTGTCTGGTCCAGCGAAGGTGGGTTTGTGCCCAGAGGTTGCCGGTGATGCAATCTGTTATGGAGCTGCCTTAACAGGCCTGCAGCCCTCAGTCCAGCCTCTCTCTGCCTGCTGCAGACAGTCTGAGCACTGATGGAGGGATTGTGCACTCCTGGTGAAACTCGAGCAGCTGTTGTTGCCATCCTGTCCTGCAGTGGTGATGTTCTGATGTACTGAACCTGTGCAGGTGTTTCATCAGCTGTCTTCTCTGTCTCAGGCGTCTCACAGTAGGGGCATTGCATTTTATTGCCCTGGCCACATCTGCAGCCCTGACGCCGCCTTACATTTATTCATTTAACTGACGCTTTTATCCAAAGTGACTTACAGTTTCTCTACATGTCAGAGGTCGTGTGCCTCTTATCCATTTACGTCTTATTACGTCTTATCCGTTGCGCCATCACCACCCTTACGACATACCTTGCAGCATGTCTGAGGCCCGTTCATGCAGATGAGCAGGAACTCTGGGAATCTTTCTTGTGTTTTTCAGAAGCGTCTCTTTAGGGTTCTAAGTTTTTAGAACTGTGACCTTAATTGGCCACCGTCTGCACGCTGTTAGTGTCTAAACGACTGTTCCACAGGTGCTTGTTCACTGATTGTTTTTGGTTCATTGAACAAGTATGAAAAACATTGTTTACAACCTTTACAATAAAGTTCTGTAAAGTTATTTGGATGTTTACAGAATTATCTTCTAAAAACTGTGTCCTGAAAAAGGGACATATCTTTTTGTTGCTGAGTTTATGTATATATAAATATTTTATTATTTATTTTACCAGGAAGCACATACAGCTATTCAAACACAAGAAAAACAACCACATGCCTCCCTCCCCACATTCTTTATGAAGCCCTTAACTTTATCAATTGATATACACGTTCTAATCTGAGATTTTATTGCACATTATTCCAAGTCACTTATGGTTCTTTCCCATATGTACATATAGTTCTATATTTTCTATATTTACTCATATAATATATATATATATATATATATATATATGGGAGACTGTATATGCATTCAGTCTTTACATTGTAGGAGAATATTTATTGTGAATAAACTATGGATTTCTTTTTTTACAGTAGATTAAAGATAGATGGGAGAAGGTGAAGTGGAGAAGTGAAACTCAAAGAGTCCGAGGTTCAGACACAGCAAGCAGCTGATGACTAATACTGCCAACGGGAAGTGGTGTGCTCATCACACCCTAAAACCATTTGGCCCTCGTGTGTTGGCCCCGTACACTGCAGAGAAAGAAGCTCTGGAGCGGAAGTATAATAATATATGGATGAGCTTAATGTTATCATTTAGGCTCAGTTAGTCATAGCCTTAAAATATGAGTTAATTCATCACAATTAGGATATTCTAATGAGATTTCTATGATAGAAACCACATCTGTAATAATTTTGACTTAGGATCTAGGTTTTCTTGCAGCGTCTGTAGAACAGTTGTTAGGGTGGTTGCTAAGGCATTACTAGATGGTGGTTAAGGTGTTCTGGATGGTTTCAGTGGTCTGCAAGAGTCTGAATTAACACATTTCAGTTTGTTCCTTTCCTGTTGTTGGGGCGGCTCCCTCTCAGGAGGTAGAGCGCTGTTGTCATGTCAAAGTGTCCTTGGCCAGATACTGATCCCTGAACTGCATGTGTATGAATGTGTGTGAATGTTCAGTTTGAGCACTTAGGCTCAGTGTATGACTGGGTAAATGCGATGTAGTGTGTTGGATTGATTGATCGATTTTAGGGGTCACAAAAGACTAGAAAGGCGCAATACAAATACAGAGCATTTACACGCACTTTTTTTACAGGGAGAATAACGTACGAGTCCACTAGGAGGCAGTGTGACGTTGAGCAAACCACAATCAGAAAATGCAAATCAGTTTTACTGCGTTGAAACAAATGTGGAAGAATTTGGATTTAACGATGTAAATGGACGCAGCAATAACACGGTGGATAACGATATTAGATACCTTCAGGATAATTAGAATGAATTATTATTCAAGAATCGGCCAAAACACAGGAAACAGGGCTGGAACCTCCGACAGTGTAAAAGAAGTGGACGTGGCCGTCTCAACGTCACCTGTTGGTTTGTGAACAACTGTTTTAAAACCTTGTTTTTTGGAAGCAGATGTGACCATAAACGGACGAGAGGGCGGAGCTAGCTAGCTTGGTTAGCAAGGTGCATCTGTAACATTAGCTGTGATGCAAATTTTAGCTAGCGACAAACAGGCTTAAAACAAAACGTAATTACTGAAAAATGAGCAGCAGATTCCTGATAAGCTTTTTCAGAGGCGCTGGTTAAATGTACACAGAGCAGCGGATACGAGTCGCCTGTAGCCTGACTGACAGGTCGCCATGGGAGCGTAGAAACATTTTCTCAGAGACAATCACACTTTTTTCTGCAGCCGCTGGAGTCGCCCCCTGCTGGCTGCTGGAGAGGACGCAGGTTTAAGTCGCCCCCTGCTGGCTGTTAGAGAGGACGCAGGTTTAAGTCGCCCCCTGCTGGCTGCTAGAGAGGACGCAGGTTTAAGTCGCCCCCTGCTGGCTGCTAGAGAGGACGCAGGTTTAAGTCGCCCCCTGCTGGCTGTTAGAGAGGACGCAGGTTTAAGTCGCCCCCTGCTGGCTGCTGGAGAGGACGCAGGTTTAAGTCGCCCCCTGCTGGCTGCTAGAGAGGACGCAGGTTTAAGTCGCCCCCTGCTGGCCACTAGAGAGGACGCAGGTTTAAGTCGCCCCCTGCTGGCTGCTGGAGAGGACGCAGGTTTAAGTCGCCCCTGCTGGCTGCTAGAGAGGACGCAGGTTTAAGTCGCCCCCTGCTGGCCGCTAGAGAGGACGCAGGTTTAAGTCGCCCCCTGCTGGCCGCTGGAGAGGACGCAGGTTTAAGTCGCCCCCTGCTGGCTGCTAGAGAGGACGCAGGTTTAAGTCGCCCCCTGCTGGCTGCTGGAGAGGACGCAGGTTTAAGTCGCCCCCTGCTGGCTGCTAGAGAGGACGCAGGTTTAAGTCGCCCCCTGCTGGCTGTTAGAGAGGACGCAGGTTTAAGTCGCCCCCTGCTGGCTGCTAGAGAGGACGCAGCTTTAAGTCGCCCCTGCTGGCTGTTAGAGAGGACGCAGGTTTAAGTCGCCCCCTGCTGGCTGCTAGAGAGGACGCAGGTTTAAGTCGCCCCCTGCTGGCTGCTGGAGAGGACGCAGCTTTAAGTCGCCCCTGCTGGCTGTTAGAGAGGACGCAGGTTTAAGTCGCCCCCTGCTGGCTGCTAGAGAGGACGCAGCTTTAAGTCGCCCCTGCTGGCTGTTAGAGAGGACGCAGGTTTAAGTCGCCCCCTGCTGGCTGTTAGAGAGGACGCAGCTTTAAGTCGCCCCTGCTGGCTGTTAGAGAGGACGCAGGTTTAAGTCGCCCCCTGCTGGCTGCTGGAGAGGACGCAGCTTTAAGTCGCCCCTGCTGGCTGTTAGAGAGGACGCAGGTTTAAGTCGCCCCCTGCTGGCTGTTAGAGAGGACGCAGGTTTAAGTCGCCCCCTGCTGGCTGCTGGAGAGGACGCAGGTTTAAGTCGCCCCCTGCTGGCTGCTAGAGAGGACGCAGGTTTAAGTCGCCCCCTGCTGGCCGCTGGAGAGGACGCAGGTTTAAGTCGCCCCCTGCTGGCTGCTAGAGAGGACGCAGGTTTAAGTCGCCCCCTGCTGGCTGCTAGAGAGGACGCAGGTTTAAGTCGCCCCCTGCTGGCTGTTAGAGAGGACGCAGGTTTAAGTCGCCCCCTGCTGGCCGCTGGAGAGGACGCAGGTTTAAGTCACCCCCTGCTGGCTGCTAGAGAGGACGCAGGTTTAAGTCGCCCCCTGCTGGCTGCTAGAGAGGACGCAGGTTTAAGTCGCCCCCTGCTGGCTGTTAGAGAGGACGCAGGTTTAAGTCGCCCCCTGCTGGCTGCTGGAGAGGACGCAGGTTTAAGGCGCCCCCTGCTGGCTGCTAGAGAGGACGCAGGTTTAAGTCGCCCCCTGCTGGCCGCTGGAGAGGACGCAGGTTTAAGGCGCCCCCTGCTGGCTGCTAGAGAGGACACAGGTTTAAGTCGCCCCCTGCTGGCCGCTAGAGAGGACACAGGTTTAAGTCGCCCCCTGCTGGCCGCTGGAGAGGACGCAGGTTTAAGTCGCCCCCTGCTGGCCGCTGGAGAGGACGCAGGTTTAAGGCGCCCCCTGCTGGCTGCTAGAGAGGACACAGGTTTAAGTCGCC